GCTGCCCTGCTTTTCTCCAGCTCCTCGGCTGTGTCGATGTCCGCCCGGCCTTTGCCGTCGCTGATCCCGCCGTACCTCTGCGGAGATGTCCGCCCTTTTCTTTCCGAGACGGAAGCTTCGGCCCTGCTTGCTTGCATCGTTGTGGGTGCATTTCCGGCACAATTTCCAGTCGGACAGTCAGCCAGAGTACGGTCGGCCCCAGGCACAAGATCGAGGTCGGTTCGAAGAGGGCACCCGAATGCTCTTCGTGTCTGCTGGATGTTCTTGTGCAGCCTGGTGCCCTCGAGTGATCTCATGGTTTGGGGTGTGTTGGCCGGCGGAGGGTCTCATGTTCTTGACGGGTGTTATTATGTCTCAGGTCCGGCCGTACAATTTTAAGTGGGACAATCAACGGATCCAGAGTCAGGGATCAACATGAGCTTTCCGAGCTCCGCGCGGATTTCCTCACCATACACCACAACACCCCAAGCCAACCCCAAGACCCCAAATTGCCCTCCATTCCCAGCGGGTGGGGCGTCGGGGAACGTTGAAAAAACACGTGGAACCTGTACCACTCCCCCCAACCCGAAACTTTGGTCTCCGGGTTAGGTTCGGGTGGTCTGGTAGGTAGTTATTTCTTGGGTCGCCCCTGGCGTGCTCCGCGCACAGAATCGATTCACCCCGAACTTGATTTGTTCGTCGAATCCACGAGACACGCGTACAATGTTAGTAGAACTTCGAGCAGTCTACGTATGAGAATATAAGTTCTGGGGTCAATCAATTCTGTAGTCGATCCCCTACTCGAGCCCTCCCCCCTCTGCCCCTTCCCGCCTGCCCGCCCGGCTGCTCCGTCCCGCCGGCCCCGGCCTCCCACCTGCGCGTTCGCCGTGGTCTGCCCGCTACTCGTTCCATGCTTTTCCCCCCAACGATCGACCGCACTGAAAAGCTCAAGACGAAGGTTTTTCGCAGCTTTCGGCCTCCGGGGGCCCTCGCCGGGCCGCCCAGGGACCGTCAGGAGAGGACTCGGAATGAAAAACTGGTCCCGCGGAGCGGGTCGAGACCTCTGGGGGTCACGACCTCGGATCTTTGGGCCGTTCCCTTTTCTCGCCCTCCGTCGCCGCGCAGCACGGGCTGCTGCGAGTCGGTGGCGGAACGCCGTCTCGGCGCACGCAAGTGCGGATAACAGCGTGCGTTTGGGAGCCAGGCATGACATAGACATGAGCCTTCCGTGTTCTCCTTCTCCGTCGCCGCGCAGCACAGATTGCGCTGGGGAAGCGTCTGGCGCGCCGATCTCCCAGGAATCCGCGCGGAGCTCCAGGATAAGGGCCATGGCCATGGTGTGTAGACACAGGTGTACAGTGATTCCGCACCACGCGTTGAGTCCCGGACAAAAGTCATGTCATGGCGCAGGTGGGATAGGCGGGGTTGCAGCAGCGCTTCCCCACCTCCGCAGCAATTTGCCTCAGAGGCCCCACAGATAGCCCTGCTGGCAGCACGCTTTCTGCATTGTACACGCGTGGAGTCCAGGACACAAGGGGGAGGAGGAGGAGGAGGAGGAGGAGGAGGAGGAGGAGGAGGAGGAGGAGGAGGAGGAGGACCAGCCAGGACCAGGAGGACCAGGAGGAGGAGGAGGAGGCAGAGGAGGAGGAGCAGGAGGAGGAGGAGGAAAAGGAGGAGAAGGAGGAGGAAGTCGTTGCGTTTCTGTGCATTCCGCTTCTGCTGCCTCCAGGCGAGCCGGCCAGCGCCCGCGAGCTTGGGGCCGCGGGGGGCCGCAGGTCGGGGGAGGAGAACCTTACGGTGCCGATGCCTGGGAGAGCGCTTGCTGTCTCAAGGGTCCGGCGATAGACAGCGTTCTCGGGCCCGCGCGCCCCCAAGAGGCCCCCAGGAGGCCCCTGGGAGGCCCCCAGGAGACCCCAAAAGGCCTCGTCGTTATTGTCCTCCTCCTCCTCCTCCTCCTCTCCCTCCTCCTGCTCCTCCTCCTCCTCCTCCTCCTCCTCCTGCTCCTCCTCCTCTGCCTCCTCCTCCTCCTCCTCCTCCTCCTGCTCCTCCTCCTCCCTCCTCCTCCTCCCGCGGCGGCCGCTTGTCTGCCGCGCGCCGGGAGCTCTTTAAACGGGAGCCGGCGCAACCCCCAACGCCGAGACAAGCGCGCCGCTCAGCGGCAGCAGGCCGCGGAGCCGAGGGGGTGCGCCGACCAGGGCCTATTAGCTTCCCATAGCTCGGCATCGCTTGGACGTGTGCATTTTTCTTTCGGCGAGGACCATCTAGGAGCATCCTTGATCTTTTGGCGAAAAAACCACGCACGAAGCCGAAAAAAACACAGGGAGTGGACGTCCGAGCGATGGCGAGATAGTGTGTAGACACAGGTTTACAGTGAGTCCGCACCGCGCGTTGGCTCCAGGACACAAGTCATGGCGCCGGCGGGATGGGCGGAATTGCAGCAGCGCTTCCGCACCTCTGCAGCCATTTGCCTCCCCCTCCTTCCTTTCCTTTTTTGCGTGGAGCGGTCTTCAATCCTCGAGAT